CGGCGCCCTCTCCTGGAAGCGTGCCCTTCGAGCAGGGGACATTTTCAGTGCAGTGTCCTCCTGACACCCTTGAGACGAGGTTTGCTCTAGGCCCCTAGGGCACCTCAGTAGCCCTGAAATTAAGCCTACATTTGGGTCCACACACCTGGTTTCCCCCAAGGGAGCCACGGAAAACATGGCAGCCCATGGACGCACAAGTTAATAAATCTCGACCTCGTGCATCAGCATCAAATAAACTAAGCCTAGTTTAGAGGAAGACATGAACCATCAGGCAGGGAGAGGGGCAAAGCAAACCGTTTAACCATCGGGAAGCAAAGTACGGAATGTAACTTGTCTTCAGGAGCCTGAGGGCTGGTCTGTGGGGAAGATTCCCATCTCCAGGTTGGGGTGGAGGAGACCAGGTGAGCAGATTTTCTAAAAACAGCCTACGAGGTTACGAGCGACTGGCAGGTTAGGAGCACCAAACCTGCTCATACATCAACGGTCAGCCGAACCTCGGGAGGAGACGGGAGGCGAGCCGAGTGCAGGGGACAAACACCGAGGGCTGGGCCTGGGAGATGCCTGCCCGGGATCACGGCCGGGGCAGGGGGAAGTGAGGCATGTCTGCAAAGCGGGCAGAGGTGGCCTGTGGGTGCCCAGGGGAACCTTTATCATTGGATCAAATGTCCTACTAAAGAACAGCACTGCCCTGGCCGAGGTGGCTCAGTGGACAGAGAGCCTGCAGACTGAAGGGTCCCCAGTTTGATTCAGGTCAAGGGCACATGCCCGGGTTGCAGGCTCAATCCCCAGTGGGGGGTGTGCAGGAGGCAGCCAATCCATGATTCTCTCTCATCACTGATGTTTCTATCTCTCTCTCTCCCTCTCCCTTCCTCTCTGACATCAATAAAAATATACATATTTTAAAAATAGCCCAAATGTCGCTCTTCTGCCCCCCTCACGTTAAGCTTAAGCACGAAGCTTAAGCAGAGGTTCAAACACATGCAACTGCATGCAGCAGGTGGCAGCCCCACCTGCCTGAGCCTCGTCTAGACTGTCTGCCCTCCTGGCACTCACGAGACCCAAAGCTCTGAGCACCGCTGTGTGGCCCCTGGGAGCCCCGAGGGCAGGCTGCCCACTGAAGCTCCCAGGTGACCGAACCCCTTCCGGGAAGGCCACCGCCCAGAATGAAGGACTGGGTACAAAAGGGGGGGGGGGGCCCAAGACAATGTTTTTATTTTGATTAAACAGAAAACAAAACGTAGTAAGCAACAAAGAAGCAGAATGAGGAAGCGCAGGGAAGCCGGCAGTACTTACTATGGTAACAGGTACTCCTTAGCACATCCTCCTGCTTGCCACGCAGCCACAAGAAGAGAAAAGCACAGGGAGAGAATCTACGCATTCAGTCACAGCACCAGGTACAGGAGGAGAATGGCCGAGCCATTCTTGTGGACACAGAGGCACAGGCTCCCGACAGACATGGGAAGCATGATGTATAAGACCGAGGGACAGACACGCAAGCCACACGCCACAGACACGCGGTGGGTGGTCTGAGAGGCCGACGGAGGCCAGTGCTCTGCATGGACTGATAACATGGCAGTCAAATGACATCCTGTAGCTCAGACACCACAGAGGACTTTCCGGAGGTGGAATTGAGCACAGGAAGGTTTAGGAAGTGTGCAAAGAGGGCAAAACTGACATCATCAATGAAGTGGGTTCCGATCCCTGAAGGCTGTCCTCCCACCTGTGACATCTCACTAACAAATCTGTTTGGCCTCAGGTTTCCCAGGACAAGGCCAAAACAGGAGCGCCAAGAGGCTGGGCCCAGAAGCACCCAGCACGCGCTGTGCTGGTTCCCACGCAAAGGCACACGTCCTCACTAGTGTCAGCGGCCACTCCTTCCATTGGACAGAACACGCAGCCCACTCCCCCAGCCCCGCTGTGGACACCCATCCACACAGTGCCGTGCGCCCTCCCGCACTGGGGCAGCCTCGCCCGCCCCCGCCCAGGACTCACCTTCCTCCAGCTTGACGGGGGAGCAGGGGGCAGCAGGGGGCTCTGGAGGACTGTCTTTCTGCTCTCCAGTCTCGTCCAGACTCTCTGCAGGTGGCAGAGGTGAGAGGGCGTGGTGAGATGCCGCCATGAGCCCGCACCAGAGCCCTCCCAGGGGAGTCGGACCTACTCCCTCTGACTAGCCTGAGTGAGGAGGGAGGAAGCATGTGCTGAGGAGCACTCTGCCCTTCACCAAAGGCCTGGAGGACAGAGGCGCTCACCTGCGGACCTGCCCACGCAGAACCTGCCCTGGCGCCTGGGCCTCGCCGTGAGCACTCACCTGGGGGGCCCCTGTGCTTGCGCTCCACCTCCCTGCGGTACTCCTCCAGCTCGCGGTCAGTGAGCGTGTTGAAGGGGTTGGGGCCTGTGGTGCTCACGATGACGTGGGGCTGGTACTCCTTCTCAATGATGGCCTTGGAGGCTGTCACCAGCTCCCCCTGCGGACAGAAGAGGTGCTGGGTCTGCAGAAGCCCTGCCCCAGGACTTCCTCCTCCCCGGCCAGGCTGCAGGCAGGGTGGGGCGGGGCAGCTCTCCAGGGGCACAAAGACATCCCTGAGGGTTAGGCTGAGCTACAGCCTTCAGGGGCAGAAGACAGAGACACACGATTTTGATGCAACAAAATACATGTAACAGGAGAAAAGAACCCTAGAAAGCCCTCAGGTTTCAGAAGCAAAGGCAGCGAAGTGCAGATGGAGCGCACAGAGCACCTCGAGGACAAGCCCATTCCTCACTGACAGGCGGGAAGAGGAAATGCACAGATCACAACACTCAGGTCAGACGGGAGAGACCTGCTTCCATCCTAGGAGCACAGGCAGGTTCTGTTCTTCTGACCTTGAGAAGAAGAAAATGGCCCCAGGCACCAGCATTTGTCTGGGGAACTTGGAAAACAGAATTTGTAGGAGAGAAAAGAAAGCCAAGCCTGTGAAGCACCCGTGGCCACAGACCAGCCCCATCTGCCAGGAGGAGGCGGGCAGGCCCCGGAGGGCGGGAGCCAGCGGGCTGAGTGTGACGCCACCGCACATCCCTTGCCCGGCACAGCTCTGTGCCCCGCTCAGCCTAGTCGGCCCCAAATGCTCCCCGATGTTCACCTTGGAGAAAACTAACCGGAACTCATGCACATGCCCAGTACTTAATGAGAGCTTCCAAAAGTAACTGAAAACAGGAGAATCCAACATCACTTTCACGCCTGCCGGTCCACCTGTGCTCTCCTCAGCGAGGGGCGAGCGTCAGAGGCAGTCAGCGTCCCTGCAATGGGCACTGGACACAGAGCCAGACCGAGGCCGGAGGACCTGGGCTGAGCGGCCCGGTCCCATGAGCTGGGTAGAGTGCCTGGAGCACTCGAGGACTGACACTGACAGTGACACAGGCCCCGGGACAGAGGAAAGGGGCTGCTGGAGTCAGCAGCCTGTTACCAACCTGTCATCAGGTTCAGGATGACCTGGGAGTCGGTTAGCCCTCTTTCTGACCAGCCTGACCCAACGCCACCGGCTTTTCCTTCAGAAGCAGCCCTGCCTGGCCAAGACGGGGACTCAGGTCCTCCTCTGCCACTCGGACCCTTGGCCCGAGACATGCCCTTTCCTGTCCACAGGGCCTGTTACCATCTTCAAGAGGAGCCTGCTGGGCAGGCCCGAGGCCCACAGAGCACGGACGCTATCATCTACGCAACCTGGCTGGTGCCTGCGCGTCCTGGTAGCACTGCCAGTGAGACAGGAAGGTGATGTGAGCTTTGCGAGAAACACTGTCACTCATTTCAGTCCCATGTTCACAATCAGTAAAGGGCAAACAAAACCAGAAACTGCCACCGAGATCCTTCCTGTCCGGGTGCCACACAGCTGGTTCCCGCCACACTGGCAGGGGCTCCCTCCTCAGTGAGGGCCAAGCTGGAGCTAGGAAAAGAGCGATGCCTGAGCCGCAGAGACAGACAGGCCCTGTGGGGGGCAGCCCGAGAAGTCGGGGCTGAAGGGGCAGCTCCCTCCAGCAGCCCATGTGGGGGCGCTTGTTGCGCTCCTCCCGTTTGGCCCCACCAGGGCTCTAAGCCTGTTCCTCCTGGCACTGGGCTGAGGCATCAGATTTTCATCTGAAAAATCTACACAGATTTGAATTTATATTCCTTTTTTTGTTTGTTAATCCTCACCCGAGGATACTTTTTCCCACTGATTTTCAGAGAGAGTGGAAGGAAGGGAGGGAGGGGAAGAGAGAGAGAGAAAAATTGATGACAGAGGTGCCCAGACCAAGGTTGAGAAACGAACCTGCAATCCAGGGAATTGAACCCGTACGTGCAAGCGGGTGCTCCAGCTACTGAGCCACCAGGCCAGGGCTAAATGTACATCTTAGTGCTGGGCCTGCACACACTAGGTGCTTACCACCCAGTGCACACAGGTGCGGCAGAGCAGCAAGTCTGGGTTGCACACCTGGGCAGCAGGACAGGACTAAGTGCAAATCTTCACACCCGTCTCTAACGACTCGGTTCACTGGGAATCAAATCCAGGTGGCAGAGTGACTTCCAGCCACAGGCTGGCTGCACAGTGCTGAGTCAAGAGAGCCCTGGCTGGGCTTCCTGTCCCTTTGGGCACCGGAGCACGGGGTGTGGCTGGCGACTCGCTGATCCTTCTTCTGCCAGAAGACAAAGGAGAGATGGAAGCAAAAGAAAGTCCTTCCAGAAAAGCCCCAACTTCCTTAGTCCCAAACGCCCGTTCCTCAAGCTCTTGACCGGGAAGTGAGTCTCTGCACGCGTGCCTTACGGGGAAGAGAACGTTTTTAGGACGTTGACACACAGTCCTTTTCACTTGCTCAAGAGGGTCAACTTGCCAGTGAGCAGCGCCACCTCTAGGAGCACCGTGGTCTGTGCTTTGTGGTCCACACACCAAGACGTGGCAACCACCCCACTCAAGGACATCAGAGGAGTCAAAGCACATTCTCACATCAAAACGAAACATGCTGTCACGGGAAAGAGCAAGGCTGCGAATGTGAGCGCCCGGAAGAGGGGGCGGGGAAAACAGAAGCTGGCCAGGAACCTGCACAGGGCACCGCCTCACTGGGCTCGGTGCCGAGTGGCTTTCTCTGCCGATCCTGCCTGGACACGGCGCTCACAGGGTCTAGTCTGGTGCTCGGACTTGCAGAGGACATGTGACTGGCCAGGAACCCCACTCGCACAGCCATTGGAGGGGCCCCTGGCTACGCTCCATGACGCATCCTCACAGGGAACTGGGATGCACCCCCAAGTCTGAGCACTGCTGGACAGAGCCAAACAGAACTGCGACGGACGAGGAACTGCCAGAGCAGCAGCCTTAACACAGCGGACGGTCTCCCTTCCAGGCAGGCAGCCCTAACGACACAAACAGGAACCACTAAATGCAATCTAAGCCAGAGAGCTTGTCCAAACCTGCTCTGCTCCATAAGCCCCCGGGGCTCATGGACTTCACACACCTACACACACCTGAGAGAAAAGAATGAGAAACTAAGGTCACATGGGATGGAAGCATGACAAACAAGCCAGTGGGGCAGGAGGCCATCTCTCCCATGCTCTGCGGGGCTCCTCCAAGAATGGTCGCTGGACAAGGGAAAACAGGACCCACTGAAACAATACACAAATATGCAAAAATAATGCCGTTAGCGAGGGTTCCAGACAGGAATACAGAGCCCTTGGTGCAAGCCTCCTTCTCTCTGGCTCCTGGGGCGTGGCTAGATGACACCTGCACTCACTGGAGGAGTGTAACTGAGACACAATTCCTCTGGACAGAGGGCGAACGCCTGAGGCCTCACCCTCTGCCCTCAGCGCCTCAAAGCTTAGAACAGGCGAGCCTCCACCTGGCACGGGACATAGGGTGGATTTCCACCTACTGAGCACTTTAGGTATGCAGGTACACGGAGAATGGTAATTTGGGGTTTCCAATTTCACAAGTCTTTGCCCCCTTGCAACATTAAAAAAAATCTAGGATTTTTAAGGTCAAAATAAATACATTTCCTCAACCAGGGCTGACAAGAGACCGCCTTGCTTTACTTCCCGCTCCCCTGAAAGGATGTCTTTCAATCGCACCCCCCATTGCACGTTCCTTACGTTTTCGGTCACAGCTGAGCAGGCAAAGGGAGCAGGTCGCACGGAAGCATCCGCACTAACAGAGTCACATGCAGAACCTCTGAAAAGCACCGTCATGATGCGGAGACGCACCCACTCCTCCCAGCCAGGGCTTCCCTGCAGCCCAGGGCAGGCAGGACGGCACCCTCTGTCCTCTCCCCAAGGAGCTAGAGTCCGTGTGCGGCTCCGTCCGGCAGGAGCAGGCAGGTGGGGACAGGCAGGCAGGAGGCAGCGCGAGCCGACAGTAACTACGGGCAGGAGGAGTACCTTTCTAACAGGGAGAGATTTAGCTGGACTAAAGGTCTGCTCTGTGAGCTCGAGCCCTTCGATTGTCTCCGTGCAGTCAGACAGGGGTGCGTCCTGCAACAGTAAACTGAGTCAGCAGAGCCCCAGGCCCAGCCTGAAGTACCGAGCGCACAAGATGGCGCCGCTGAGAGCATGCAGCAGGGACGGCGGCGTCGCCAGGAAGGCAGCGGGGGCGGCACCGCCACGTGCAAGCCCAGTCCCCAGGACCAGGACCACACCTGACCAGTCAGAAGAGGCGGCGACAGTCACCTACCCTGCAGTTAACGTGCGCGGTTTCAGAGGCAACTACAGACACGATTACCTTCAAGGGGCCCAGGCACTGTCCCTTTATAGAAACGCGGGTCACCGTGGCCACAGACAGGCACCAAGCAGCGCCCTGCCGCAGGCAGCCACGTGGACGGGAATAAGCCCGCCGAGCCCCGGAGGCCAGCACTTTACACGGTGTGCAGCACCCGGACCGGGCGGTGGGTCCCCGGGCACCGTGCCACCCGCACAGGCATGCAATGCACCGAGCGCTGGTGGGGACACGCCCCGGGCATGCTCGTGCTTGGCCTACAACTCAGGGGAAAGTGCCTGTGATTTCTCATCATGAAGGATTTTCACAAAGACTGCATAAGAATAACAGGACTAATTCCCAGTTCTCACCTGGACGAGGCTTCTGTCCATCACTACACCACACAACACCTGCGACTGGGGGCCAGCCGTCTTAATGTCCTGCAGGTTCTGCTCTCGGATCTGAGGACGGCAACAGGAGGAACACATCAGCAGCATGCCCACACCTCGCCCGCTCGGTACTGCCTGGGTCTGAAGGGAGGAAGGGCCCATTCCTACGTCCTTCCCCTTCTGGTGACGTGGGCAAGCGCTCACTCACTTGAGGACACACTCCCTACGTGTCCCTCTTACCGGGACACTGTGAACAGTCCAGGGTGAAGGCTCTGCAGACTGCAGCCCTGCCTGCTGCTCACGGGCCACAGGTGCACAGCACAAGCGCACAGAGGGGCCGCAGCTGCAGTCACGGGGCAGCACAAGTCCTCAACCCGCGCTCTCTGCCCTGCAGCAGCCAGCACCCCGTCCACCCACTGCAGCCTCCGCCTCCCGCACACGAGTACGCACCTTGTTCCTCATCTCCTGGACCTCTTTCGGGTTTGTGTTCAATGGAACAAACAGGTTAGGGACAGCAGAGGTGGAAGTTCTATGTCCATCCTCTTTAGTCCACTGTAATATCAAGAAGAGTTAAAATGTCAGAATTGGGATGGCAACAGGTGGCACCAAGCACCCCATCTGTCCAACTGATCTCACATCTGGTCATGCACTGAGCATCACAGAGGATGAACCAATGACCATACCCTGTGCCACCGCAGCGGCTGGAGGGGGCAGGAGCATGTCCAGACCGAAACCAGGAATGGCGGAGGCCAGAGTCGTGACGACCGGCCAGAGCCACTGAGAAAGCCCCGCTGAAATGTGGGGTCTGACATGGACTGGCAACAGAGCTGAGCCCCTAACTCCCGCAGACTAGCCAGCGGGGACCCTTCAGAGCACATTGGTTCACCGCTCTGAGCATCGTCAACACCAAAGCCAGCTGGAAGCATGAGATGACAGGGTCATGGAAAGCAATGTGATGTGCTACCCAGAGGGAGGGAAGACTCGCATTGGAAGGCAAGAGTGGGCATCACCAAAGTGCTGCATTAAAATAAACTACAGCGTCAGAATGCACTGTTTGCATAGCTATTTCAACCCAAGAAAATCGCGGAATGAATGCTTAGGCACCTGGGGAAGATTTGGTGATGTCGAATATTTTATATAACTTCATACTCTGAGTGTTACAAAAATATCCCACAGGAGCTCGGAGCGCTGGGATCCTTACTAGAAGGCCGTCTTAGGCAGCGGGCACACTGCCAGCACCCTGCGCCTTTCACTTTTTTTTGAATTTCCAATCAAATATGACCATTTTCATCACATTGTAATTCGGAGGATGAGGAGGCGCTGAGTGTTAAAACAAGCCCACCTCCGAGAGCAAATGTTATTCTTTTCAGGGTGTTTTCAGAGGCACTAAGAGAGCCGTAACCGTAAGACTTGGAGAAAGCCAGGGGAGCGGATGCTCAGCCACTGCGGGGAGCGCGACGGGCGTGCGCTGGGAGGTACTCACTGACGGCATCTTCAGATTAAACAACTCCGGCCTTTCATTAAAGATAATTTCCAGTCAAAACAGGAAAACGGCAACCTCAGGAGCGTGACACTATTACTGTAAGTGAATATACCCACCTGGGCGCAGGCACGGGGATCAATCCAGAACAAGAAACACATCGCAATGCTGCCCAGGGCCTCCCTCCACGCCACACTGACTAACACACCCGACTCACTTCACACTTTTTCACGCTAAGAGTACATGTAGCTCAAAGCTGCTGCCACACACACACTTCGGGAAAACTCGGCACAGCCTCCGGCACATGTACTGACGGCAGCGGAGTCGTTCGGGCCCACTCCCCTGAACAAGCAACATCAGTAAAAACGAAACAAAGGCCACGAGAAAAGAAAAAAAGGGAGAGAGGGACAGAGGGGAAGGAGGGGGGACCGGGGGCGAGACGGAGAGGAGGCCGGGCTCAGCACTGGGCCTCTGCCCGCGTGGGCGGCATGTCGGCTCAGGGGCACAGAGGCTCTCACCAACTGTGCGCCAGGAAAACGCCAGCCACCTGGAGACAGGCCTCTCTTTCGACACGTCTACAAAGTAAGAGCGTTATGAGGGAAGCCGTTTGCTGCCTGGGGGCCCCGAGTCTGGGCCCGTCTCGCCTGCGCTACAGACCAGCCGTGCAGCGGTGGGTCTGTGCCCGCTTCCGTGTGCGCGCAGGACTCCACCGCAGGAGCACGGCTGTCCCGGGCTCGGTGAGGGGCCGTGAACCGTCTTCACAGAGGCGGCTGAGGGTCGGGACCTGAGGGCGGCTCAGGGCCGGTGAACACGGGCGTGAAGCACGTTGGCAGCAACCCTCTGTCGCTGGTGCCCGCGGTGGCCTGCGCTGCACTGGGGTCATGCCGCCCCCGGCAGGAGTCAGAAGACTCCGCGATGGCGGTCTACTCACATGCACAGTCCATGCAGGAGGCAGCTGCTGAGAGCGTTCGGAGGCTTTGGGACAGAGCAGGGGAGGCTAACGAGGAGGACCTGGCCGGCCGAGAGCAGGCCGGGACCCAGAGGAGAAACTGCTTAAGAAAACACTCGAGACGTTAAAGAACAGTTAGTGACTTACTGAAACCACCGGCATTCACAACACTGAACAACAGGCTATGACTGAACTGCCTTTTGGTGCGTGAAGTAGTAAGGTTCCTTGAGGACAGTGTGAGTTTGCCGGCAGCTCCTGGGTTTAGGTTAATACACACGTTAGTTGGACCTTTGGCTACGGACGCACTAGGTAAAGAGGCAGTCACTGGGGGGTCAGGTCAGTATCTTAAGCAGTTTCGAGCAGACAGTAGTACTGGTTCAGATACAGAAGGTGAAAGGGAAGGCTCGCCTTCAGTCAGGGTCGCAGGGCTGGTTCCCAAAGCCTCCGAAGCCCCAGCCGCCCCACTCGCTCTACATCATCTAACTAGGAACAGTAAGGTAGGCACAGACCAAGCAGTTGGTAATACAGCTTGGCACGCAGACACCGGACGAGAGAGACTGCAGCAAGGGTTTCACGTGATCGTGTGTAATGTTCGTCCACACCTTAGTCTTCGACTTGGGGCTGCTTCCGTTCTGCCCTTCCTCAGAGGCATCGTCACCCCGGCCAGAGTTCAGCCATCTTGTCTTCTCTCGTTGCTGCTTCTGAAAACTGTGTCTGAGAGGAGAGCAAGTGCCCGAATCACCGTCACTAGCAAAGGAGTAACCTGTGACGCTAGCAGGAGCCTCCACGTCGCTGTATTTCTTAGACTTCTCTCTCAGAGCCGGGTATCGGTAAGGGTAGCCAGTTCTGTAACCCTAGAGACCAAGAGAGTGAAAGACAGTCACTAGTCCACGTCTCAACACAGAGCTCTTCGGGGAACGCTGTGTGGGATCCCTCAGAGGCTGCACCCCAAGTACAAGCCCAACCTAAAGGCGAAGACGTTCACCAAAGCAAAGGCCCTGCAAGCCGACAGCAGCCCCACTGCTAACAGCCCCCCTGGAACCAACCAGAAGTCCGCCGGCAGGGGCGTGAGGCGTGCTCACCATGGACTGGGAAGCAGCACAAGAAGAACTCTCTGCCCCAGTGAACCTGAGGATGGTGCCGAGTGAGACACCAACGGGAAAGGGGGCGCTGCCTGATCCCATTACGAGGCTGGGTGGCGTCACCCTTGGGCGGAGTAAGTGACTCTCAGAGGGGACGGGCCTTCTGAGGTGCTGGTGCTGTTTTTTGATTGGGTGTTGATTCCACCCAGTTTTTTAAACTAATAAACTGAATACTTAAATAGGTGCAGTCTCCTGTTTACTGTATTTCAATAAAAAGTTTAAAATTGTAAAAAACCTGGCTTACTTGCTGTTGGCGACAATACAGACTTTACTCATCAACCTACCGAATGCTGAGGTCACAGTTTAGACGCCTGATAAACTCCAGGGAGGACCAAACAAGCACGCCTCATGGTGACTGGTTCTGGCAGATGACTGTCCCACTGACACTAACTTCACACTCAGTTCAACCCTGACTCTGCCTCGTAGCCATTCACTCTGCTGTGAAAAGTGCCCCTAACTCTCGCCTCTATGCCAACACCTGCCGTCCGCCCCCGCCCCCCGCCCTCCCTCCACCCCCGTGCAGGACCAGCCTGTTTGCTGGCCCCACAGGCAGCATCCCCGAGGCAAGGGTGGGTATCAGCCCTCCTGTCCGTGCGTAGCTTGGTGATGCGCATGGCCCCACCTCCTGAAGTGCCCTCCCTGCTGGACTGTGGACGGGCCCTGTGACTGGCTTCTCACCAGTGGAACTGGCAAAGTGATAGGCTGCGTTAGATGAGTGTGGTGCCCATCCTGAGTCTCTCTCTGTGCATTACGGTCTGAGGAAGCAAGCTGCCATGACCACCACAGATGGAAGAAAATGGACTCTGACCACCACCTGAGAGCCTGGCAGGAGGGCCTCCCACCGCTGAGCCTGCCAAGAACCCGGCCCAGCTGACCCCGACTGCTGGCAGCCTGTGAGCTCAGCTGCCCCTGCACTGCGGACCCACAGCCTCGCATCTGGACCAAGTCCTTCCCGGCCGCTTCACGGGGAGCCAGAGCGTTGGGGCTGCAAGGAGTGCAGGGCGGTCACGAGGCGGGCCTGCGCCACTGGCCGATACGCCAGAAACATGCACTTCCTCAGTCCAGGGATTCCCCTCCCTGTGGGTGCTGCTTCCCTGTGCGGGGCCACCTTCATTACCAACCATCCTTTAACACGTTAAGAAAAGGACGGCAGTAATCCCTGCGCTGCTGCTGCCTCCTCATCAGTCCTTGGGAAGAGGCGATGCACTGCCATTTCCCGCTCAGAGATGCTCACGCTCGGCTGAGGCTAATACGATGACTCAGCCAGGAAGACTGTCTTCGGAAGAACACCGTGCTTGTTCATTCACACGTCCTCTTGCTCGGACAGCCAGGACGGAGGAATCTCCAGGCCTCGGGATAAACCACCAGGCCTCCACACAACTCTACCCTCCCAGGGTGTGGGTTTGGTCTTTATTCTTCCCTTTAAATGCCGTGAAACCAAAATTAGAGGCAATACACAGACCTCAGACCTATTATATGGCTTAGTTAAAAATATGGATTCCTGCCTGGCTGGTGTGGCTCAGTGACTGAGCATCGACCCACGCACCAGGAGGTCACCAGTTCGATTCCCAGTCAGGACACATGCCTGGGTTGTGGGCTTGATCCCTAGTCGGGGGCGTGCAGAAGCAGCTGATCAATGTTGATGCTTCTCTCTCATCGATGTTTCTACCTCTCTCCCTAAAGTCAATAAAAACATTTAAGAAAAAAAAAATGGATTCATTTCTTGAGAAACTGGCACTGTATCTTGATTTTGTGGGATTTAGCATTTCTTCTGTGTGTGCTGAAATGAACTCTCACAGTGTAAGGATCTCTAGCTGCTCTCTAACCTATTCAATGACTAGCAAACATACGACTGATGAGGATGCTAACTGAATCCTGGACTGTGATCAGTGGTCGCTGTCCAGTTGATTTCTTATAAAGCACAGGGCCTGCTACTATCAGAAACAGTCACAGATCCGCCCATAAGAAGGCACTGAAAGCCTTGCGGTGCTGAATGGTCCACAGCTCAGCCTCTCATCCTCTAGCTTCCTCCCCTATCAAATCAGAGTTACTGCCCAATGTAGATTTTCTTCTCCATTTTCCAGAATGTACAGAGTGCACAAGATGGGTGGCTGCTGTTCTTCATTCTTGTCCTCTCTCCTGCTCTCCACTTACTTTTAGGCACAAGAGAGTGAAACGTCCAAGTGTTTGCCAGGAGGAGAGAAGGGCGATAGGACTGGGCCACCCCAGCCCCGGGGGGTGTCTGACTCCGGTGCTGCCACCTGGGCCACCGCTGCCCCGCGCTCAAGCCCTCTCCAGCTGCCTTTCCTGAGGCTGCACACCCCCGGTCTCCGCCTGACTCCCACGTCCTTCCATCTCCTCAGTGAGCGGTTCCGTCCTGCTTCCCTGACCAACCCTGGCCCATGCGTCTCTGCCTGCAGCTCTCGGCGTGCTGCCAGGGCGCAGAGCGCAGTGCTGGGCTGCACCTCCCTGACTAGGGCAAGAGCCGTGTCCTGTTCATGGCTACAGGCTCAAGAGCAGATGGTCAGTTAGTGCAAACCATCTTCAGCGAGCACTGAATTCAGAAGTTATAAGGAAGACTGTGCCCACTGCTCCCTCACTGACCAAACCCACTCTTGTGGACACAGCCCCTGGGCACACCCTGAATTAGATCCATGAATTCTTTGTTTTCCAAAATCTTCAGGAAAGGTAACCCTCTTGCAGCCACCCGTCCCATCTGCAGCCTCTTCCAAAGGTCGGACCGTCTTAAGTGAGGCTGGACGGTGTCCCAGTGGGGCCGGTGCCGCCCTCCAGAGCAGCCACACCCACACCCACACAAGGACTGCAGCCCTTCCCGGCGCCCCTTGTCCCACACGGCAGGACAGGTCCTCACGCCCACCAGTAGGAAGGGCATCTGAGAGGTGACAGCGCAGCATGAAAGGGCCCCTCAGAGCCATCTGCCTTACAATGTGGCGGCTCCGACCCTGCAGACTTGTTCTGAGTAATTACAGACCGTGTCAAAGGCAGAGGCGGACCTGGAGGCACGTTCCCATCCCCACCGCTCTCTTCAGTGCTGCTGCAGCCTCTGCCGTGATGCCCACTTCACCCAGCTCAGCCTGTCACGTTTCTACCTGTCCTTTGAGGTCATTTCCCAGTGCCATCTTCTACCTAAAGTGTTCTCCCTGATCTGTGAAAAAGGACGAAGGCCCTCACTGAAACCCCACATACTAGTGGACCACATCCTGCCATGTCCACGCAGAACCCCTATCACACCAGAGCACCCCCCGCCCCGCCCCATTGCGTCTGGGCTCAGGCCCCTGCAGTCAGGGCGAGGCACACAGCGAATCAGCAGCAAATGTCTGTGGAACAGTAAGTAATTGGCCTCCAAACAGCTAGAACTTCCTGTTAACACCAACAACAAAAATCCTTGCCGCCTGCTTTCAAAGCCCCTGCAGAACGTGAGTGTGGGAGGAAGGCGCTGAGCCACCCTCCGCCCGGAGCTGGTTACCCAGCAGCCTGCAGTAGAGCAGGCCGTGTCCGAGCTTCTGTCCCCACGGGGCCCCAACAAGATTATCTTTAAAAAACAAAGAAGTTCTCACTCTACTTTATGGTGATTTAGCTTAGAAGTGCTGCTGGGTGATTCTTCAGGAGCAAGTGCTCAGATGCTGCATGAGGACAGCAACTCCACAACACTACCTCACTGGTGCCCAATCCCCCACACCCCTGAGCTTCAGAAGGACACCATTATCACGCAGTGGGAGCCACGTCCTTACCAGGTTATCGAGCATCCGCATGAGGGCTTCAAACTCCTGCTCACCGATCAGCCACTTGGGAGGCGAGGCGGTGCTCTCCCCTGCCGGGGCCCCCGGGGAACGGGATTTGGCTTTGTACTTCCCCGGATCCAGGAGGACTAAGTTGTCTGGCCCTCCTGCACTGGCCAGAGTTCGAACCTTTTCAAAACAAACAAACATTACAGTCTGAGCTCCTTACTGAGAGCACAGGTGACTGGGAAATCACGTACACAGAAATGTCAAACCCCTAAGTGTAAGAATGAGAAATGTAGAATGGACAGTGATAGACTAATCACAAGGTTATGTTCAGCCCTGGCCGGGTAGCTCAGTAGGTTAGAGCATCACCTTGATACACCAAGGTGGTGGGTTCTATTCCCAGTCAGGGCATATACAAGAATCAGCCAACAAATACATAAATAAGTGGAACAACAAGTCCATCTCTCTCTCTCTCTCTCTCTCTCTCTCTCTCTCTCTCTCTCTCTCTCTCTCTCATACACACATACAAAAAAAATCAATAAATATTTTAAATGAATACATAAACCCATAATAAAATTTTAAAAACAAGGTTATTTTCAGAAGTTTTTCTTTAGCCTGACAAAAATACTGGGCCCACCTACTTGGAGGAGAAATGTAAAATACTTCTCAAGAGCATAAGCAGCAGAATGGGGAGGAAGGCATGGCTGCACAGACGAGGTCAGGAGAACAAACTTGGGGCTGGGCAGCACTTGCCACCGAGTGGCATAAGTGGCACTTACGGCCGTGAGACTGTGGCAAGTTTCTAGCTCTCTGCACCTGTTTTTTCAGAAGGAATGCCACAGGGTCGAATGAATCCCATGTAATAACATATGTAACGCACCTGATACAGGGGTTGGCACACACTGTATCCACAGTACTCCATAAATAAAAAGAAACTACCATTTGCCAAACTAAATCAGTGAAATGCCATCTGCCCTGTTCGATTTCCAAATCCGTGAGCTCAGAGTTGGCAGAGACTGCTCCAGGACTCCCCCTGCCAACCAGCATCACAGGTTCTGGGAGCCTGCAAACCCGAGACCCCCCGCAGACGGCACGCAGCACCGACCTGGATCTCACATGCAACCACGAGGTTGTGGATGTAGTAGAAGGCCTCCTCGACGCTCTCTCCGACCGACACCAGCCCGTGGTTCCGGAGGATGAGGACCTGAGGGGAACACGAGAGCTCCATGGAGCTAAAGACACTGATGCTTTCTCTCTCTCCCCTTCCCTCCATAATTTAAATGCCAGGTTACATGCCTACTGACCTTGCTTTTAGGACCCAAATTTTTCTGGATTAAAACCTTTTCCTCTTCATCAACCAAAATCCCATGGTAATCATGATAAGCCACCTCTCCAAGGGAAAGTGCCTCCGGGGAGATGGGCAAGAGCCCACATTTCATCGCAGAGACCTGGAGAACAAGCAGTCACACTGAGCGAAAGCCCTCGCTGACTGGTGACAGGGTAAAGTCTTTCCTCGAAGAAATACAAAAGGGGAACAGAGTTAACTTTGTTCTCTTCTCAGAAATAAATGAACCCATGAGCTTAAAAAAAATTACTCTGGGGCTTAGTGCAATGCACAGTTAGAAATGCAGACTCTCACTAAGCTGGGAGAGCCCAAGAGGAAGCCCACATCTTTCTGGATTTCTCCACACTGATGCTAAATGCTCTGTGAGCTCAGACTTGATGACAAGTGAGCCCCGGATCTATGAGGACAGGCAACGGCCTCCTCTGAATGCACCAGAGAGCATGGCAAGTGCTCTGAGGCTGTGTGCACAGGTTAGACTGCAGGTGGGACCAAAACACCTGAAAATCAAATCAAAGCAAATTTGTAAAAGTTGAGGATAATTATACTGTGCAATTTCTTTACATTTATTTAGGTAAAAAAAAAAAAAAATCTAAACCCTGCAGGTGTTGCTTAAGCATCAACCTATGAATCAGGAGGTGGTTGTTCAATTCCTGGTCAGCACATGGCTGGGTTGTGGGCTCAATGCCCAGCAGGGGGCGTGCAGGAGGCAGCTGATCAATGATTCTAACTATCTCTCTCCCTTCCTCTCTGTAAGAAATCAATAAAATATATTTTTAAAAAAAAAGAAAGTCAAACTTAGTGAGTAAAAAATATTTTTAATCCAACTAAGTTAGGTCTAAGGACTTATTTGCAACAAGAGGCACTTCCAGGGAAATGTGCAGAGCCTCTCACTAAACAACTACAAACTGCAGGGGGAGCGCGAGGCCACTCACCGCAGCCCCTGCCGGCGTGTGAATGTGGACCACACACTTCACGTCCGGCCGCGCAGCATAGATCGCCGAGTGCAGCGTGAAGCCAGCTTGATTGACTCCTAGGTTAGTGCTTCCACGGTCTACAACATCTCCTTGCAGATTGATTTTCACCTGAAAATAAGAAAACAAAAATTATCAATGTCAAAAGGACTTCCAATTACCCTAACTAAAAATTATTTAAACCAAATGCTAGTGTTTATAACTACTTTTAAAGGTTTTTCTGAGTTAATCACACAAAACACTAGTTTCTCTTCTTCCTTAGGTTTTCTATGTCTAACAGGATTAGAAGGGGTTTAATTAAGTAACGTGACCTATACAGTCATGACGCCCAAGAGGGAAAGGACATTCTTACCAAACTGGATGCAGTCACTTCACTGTAGAGAAGCCCAAAAGGTACAATGAGGAAGTGTTCCTGCTCGGAGCTCACTCTGGTCTGTGGGGACATGACAGAGTTAGAGCAAAATTCAACTGAAATTATTTGTATCTCTTTGAGGCCACAAACTCACAGGCTTGTCAAACATCTACACAATATAGAGCTGTTACTACAGTCATGTGTCACGTACATGAAGTGCAGTTTGGTCACATTCATGGTAATTGACCAGTGGCATGCACAAAGACGGTCACTCCTCAGGTAATGATAATGAAAACTAAAGCTCACTTTCTAAAAGTCAAACAGATTTGCCTTTAGAACGCAAAACCTGCAGGACAACGAACAATCACAAAACCACACGCAGGAGAGCGCTGGCTTCCTGCCTGAGCACGCTCAGAGCCTCTGTTGGTGTACAACATTCCCTCAGACCGAAGTTGGATGACTGAGCCATTTCCCACCTACTGTTTGACTCTAAAAATGTTTCATTATTGCCCTACCTGGCTTGGCTCAGTGGATAGAGCATCGGCCTGTAAACTGAAAGGTCCCAGGTTTGATTCTGGTCAAGAGCACGTACCTCGGTTGCAGGCTCCTCCCCGGCCTAGGCCCTGATCGGGGTGCGTGCAGGAGGCAACCAATCAATATGTTTCTCTCACATCGATATTTCTCTCTCTGTCTTTCCCTCTCTCTTCCACTCTCTCTAAAATCAATGGAAAAATATCCTCGAATGAGGATTAAAATAAAAAAGAGAAAGAAAAATAAATTAATTAAAATTTTTAAAAAATTATTATTATAGACAAGGCTATAGTAAATATATTTGTGTATCGTGTTTTCTTCTTTCACTTAGCTCCTTAACATTATTTCTAAGAGTGTGCTTAACAGATCTACATATTTTAGTGGGAAAATCTTATAATATACAATTTTCTGAGTCTGAAGCAAAGAGAAAGTGCTAAATACAGATGTAGAGTAACAATGGGAAACGAACATTTCAGTCACTTTTCTGGTCCCCGGTGGACTAGTGCCGGCTTTCCTGCATGTCCTCCCACACGACGAATGCCCCTTCTGTGCACAAGGAACAGACTCTAAGGTCACACACCTTCAGGTCACTCACTGAAAATCAGTATCTCTGGCAAAGACAGGCATCCCACCCAGAAGCACAGTGCGCTGGTCACAAAGGTGGGCTCCACACCATCTTGGAGCTGAGCCAAGACGAATTAAGGGATGGAAAAACCCTGCATCAGCCAACTGCCACCAAGAGAGGAAACCCAGCCCATATGCCAACTGGGCCACCCTGTCTCTTGACACCAACGCTTCTTTAAATCCAATGCGATCTTAAAACAGATTTAATTCAGACAAGTGTCTCTAACCCTCTAACACCTGTTAGCATTTCTCAGTCTCTTTAGCAGAAAATCCCATGGTACTTGTTCAAAGAAAGGGCACAATGACCTGTTAGCACCTTTGATTACACTGATAAATACTGCTAATAGTTCTTTTCTGTTAAGTGTCTATATGATAACACCTAGATTGTAACAAAAAAGGATGCCATAAATAATTTAAAAACACAAACTTTCCTCCTCAAAGATTCTCTAGTTCACAAGATAAAGGAAATGTTCTGGTAACTTCAATTTAATTTTTACTCAGTGTTTAGTCCCAAAGTCCCAAATAATTAAGGGGGGAGGGGAGACACAAGCAATTGAAGCAATTCAACCTTCTTTACATAGCATTCATAACAGGACTAGCGGTGAACATTTTTAAACTTCCAAATAATGAGACGATGTTATTAAAGCCAAGGATTACACTTCCTGTTATAGCTGTACCACTTCACATTACATCTCTACACAATGCCGACCACTCTCACACAGGCACAGGAACAGAGCTGGCAGCTGTGGAGGGCTAACTGGACCCACTGACCAACCATCAAAGGGCCCATGGAGTTCTGTGGGACAGTCCGACTGGGACAGACTCTCAGCTCAGCTGGGGGTTTCACGCAGTCGTTCATCTGAGAGTACGTGTGCGTCTACTCGGTGCCCAGCACAGTTCCTGCCCCTGGGCACACACAGCACAAGACACTCAGGGACTCCCTTCAAGGGGCTCATACAGACCGAGGGCAGGTGTGGACGACGGACACAAATGTAAAGTATGGCTGAGGTCACTGCTACGGGGAGAAGTGAAGAGGACGAGTTGGGGAGGGGTGACATTCTATAAACAGGACAGTGTGGACACGACAGGGTCAGGTTTGCATTTGGAAAGGTCACTTTAGGACCACATGGAGAATAGAGGGGAGGGTAATTTGGTATCTCTGGCAAAGACCCATATCTCATCCCAGAAACACAGTGCACTGGCGACAGAGGTGGGCTCCAGACCACCACCTCCAAGATGTAGCGTTCTTTAAGTCCAGATTGGAGCTGAACTAAACACCATAGGTTGAGTCCACATGTAAAAAACATCTCCGTGTGTGTGTGTGTGTGTGTGTGTGTGTTGAGTAGGAAAAAAGGGCAAAACAATCTAAATGGCTGCTAACACTGTTGCCTCAGGGGAGAGAAGAGTAGTGGCAGTTACAACTCTTCTTTAGACATTGGTGTAAGGAACACTTGTTACTATAAGCAGGAACTATATTAGTAATTTAAAATATCCAGCCAAACCGGTTTGGCTCAGTGGATGGAGCATCGGCCTGAGGACTGAAAGGTCCCGGGTTCGATTCCGGTCAAGGGCATGTACCTTGGTTGTGGGCACATCCCCGGTAGGAGGTGTGCAGGAGGCGGCTGGTCGATGTTTCTCTCTCATTGATGTTTCGAACTCTCTATCCCTCTCCCTCTCCCTTCCTCTCTGTAAAAAATCAATAAAATAAAAAATAAAATATCCAATAAAAAATAAATGAAAAAACAAAGATTGGAACAAGTTTAAAAATCAAAGGAAGGAAACAATTCAAAGAGGCTACCTCCACAAAACAGAAACACAAACCAACACCCGACAGTGCACTGGGAAGCGAAGAAGGCAAGGGAATGGAATACAAGGCAGGAGGTCGCGTCTGGGCAGAGGCAGGGACACTGAAGCGGGGGTCAGGAGTAGAGAGTGGGTTCAGCAAGGAGTTCCCATCTTCTCTGTGACACCACAGGTCACCTGCTGGGTGAAGGAGGTCAGGAATTTCAGAGAGGAAAGCACAGGAAACGTGAGGGAGCTTATGAGAGATGGCTGCCTACAGCTGCCAGGCAGTGGGGGGTCCCCTGGAGACCCGGTTGCAAATGTATGGAGATGGCCAGCGGCTCTGCTGGGAAGCTCTCTGCAGGCAGATCCGGCTGCTCAGGTCCAGGGAGGGAGAGGACGGTGTTGACAAAGGGCTCCTGAAACGATGGACCCTGAACCCCAGCTGGACAGCACGGGGAGCGAATGTGGGCAGACGGACTGGCTGTAGGAGGGAAGACCCACAGAGGCAGGGCTTGTTTCATTCCGTGATGGAACCAAGTGAGAACAACGCTTGGTACAGAACAATAAACGCTTACAGCAGACGCCCAGGAAATAATGATTGTCAGAATGAAGTGAAGAAAATAAAGGTCCTGATAATGTCGAGAAATGGCTAAAACTAGAGAAGCTAACGAAGTAAAATAAGAGATGGGAAGAAAATAGCTCCAGTCTTAGGTTTTTAGGCATAAAAAGATTTTTAAAACTGCCTGCATTTGGCAAACACTCATTTATGAAGTCAGCACGCAAGAGGAGTTCTAAAGAACCACTGTTCTCATCATTTTCATTCAAACTGGCGAGTCCTCAGGTTATTGGACTCTGCCGTCAGGATCAGAGGAAGCTCTTCCAAGCTTGACTTCAGCTCAGTGGCTCCCCCTCCTCCCAAACAGAAGAGGTGGGACCAGACCCACGCCAGTCATTCATCATCCAGTTACTATCTCCCCCAGTACTCACTGTGATATGATTGTAGATCAGCTGAGACCACCCGAAGAGATCGGCCAGTCTGTAAAATGCTGCCAGCTTACACCGCAGTAACTTCTCCCCTTTGTCATAGGCAATAGAATCAGATCCTCTAAGGTCGTTCACAGGAGTTACCATACCAAGACCTGAAATAAAGAAATATAAAGCACAAAGATTTAATATGTCTTACCAAAAGTAAATCAAATAATAACAGTTCTGAGATGTTAATCTTCCATACTACACCATAAAGTCAGTCTCAAAAACTCAAAGACAATTTCATAAAGACCGTATTCCCCAACATTAATACAATTAAGTTGAAATCAATTAACAAAAGGTAGCAAAATAGGTAAGATGCAATAGAGCAAAGCTCAGAAGGAAAGTTACAGTATTAAACATTTATTTTTAAAAACGGTTTATTTTTATTTTTTTTTATTTTTTGTTTTTTTTTTAACTTTTTTTTTTAATTGCTTAAAGCATTACAAAGGGTATTACATATGTGTCCTTTTTTTCCCCCCCGCCCTTGACAATACCCCAGCTTCCCCTACCCCCCAGTGTCTTATGTCCATTGGTTATGCTCATATGCATGCATACAAGCCCTTCAGTTGATCTCTTAACCCCCTCCCTCCTGCCCCCCAACCCTCCCCGGCCTTCCCGCTGCAGTTTGACAATCTGTGTGAGGCAGCTCTGCCTCTGTATCTATTATTGTTCAAAAGTTTATAATGGTCTCTATTATCCATGAATGATAAAAACGGTTTTTTTTAATAATCTAGGTTTCTACCTTATGAAACTAGAAAGAGTAAATTAAATCCAAGATTAAAAGAAAATAGGAATAATAAAAGTAAAAGCAGATCTCAAACAGAAAAATAATAGAGTAAATCATTGTCTTGAGATTAAAAATGAAATAAAATAATGAAAACAAAATAAAATATGCCTCCAGACTCATCAACAAAACACAGCCACGATATCAATTACCAGTGTGAGGAAGTGGAGAGGGGCCATCACTACACATCTTTCAGACACTGAAAGAACAAAGGCCCTGGTTGGTGTGGTTCAGTTGGATGGGTGTCGCCCGGTGCACCAAAGGGTTACCGGTTGATTTCCAATCGGGGCGCATGCCTGGGTTTCAGGCTCAATCTCCAGCAGGGGCGGGCGTGTAGGAGGCAGCCGATGGATGTTTCTCCCTCACCAATGTTTCTATCTCTCTTTCCCTCTCCCTTCCTTTTTCTAAAATCAAAAACATTTTAAAAAAATAAAAATAAAAAAGGATAAAGGGATAATATGAACAACTATGCCAGCAAATTTTTTAACTTAGATAAAATAGACAAATTGCTTACGAGACACAAGCTACCAAAGCTCACTCAGTAAGAAATAGATATTCTGAGTAGCCCTATTTCCAGGCCAAATGACTTCACTGTGAATTCTATCACACGTTTAAGAAATAATAATACCAGTTCTACACAAACTCTTCCAGAGCACTTTCCAACTGATTCTGCCTGGCCCAGCATTACCTTGACACCAAACCACACAAAGACATGACATTACAAGAAAAAGACAGACCAATACTTCTCATGAACATAGGACTAAAAAGTACTTAACAAAAGTTTAGCAAATAAACCAGCAATACATGAAAAGAACACATATGACTAGGGGGAGTTATCTCAAGAATGCAAGGTTAGTTCAGCATTCAGAAACCAATCAATATAATTTACCATATCAAACTAAAGAGGAAAACCATGGAATCATTTTAGTAGATGCAGAACAAGCATGTCAACATCCATTCAGGATAAAGGCTCTCAGCAAATCAGAAACAGAAGGGAACATCCTCAACTCGACAGGAGCATCTGCACAGCTGGCCACTACCATCAGACCTCATGAGGAAAGGGTGAATGCTTTCCTAAGGTCAGGAACAAAACCGTGTTTTAGAAGATTTTTCAAAAGATGGTGGCAGTAGCAGTATCGTTTTTGAATCTTCTTAAATCTCTATCCCAACCCCACACAAAAACTAACTGGAGCAACTAGGGATAACAAAACCAAAACCCAAAGATGATTTCTATGACACACTAGGTAACGACAAAGTGAGCCCGTGAACCAGAAAATAGAAGGGGCAGGGTTGTCGCAGGCAGAGCGCATGTTACCAGCATGGACCATGAGCCAAACCTGAGACTCCCAAAAGAACCAACAAGAACTCACCTGGGCCCTACCTGGTTTGACTCAGAGGATAGAGCATTGGACTGAGGACTAAAGGGTTCAGGGTTCGATTGTGGTCAAGGGCACATACCTACCTTGCAGGCTTGTCCCCCGGCCCTGGTCAGGGTGCGTGCAGGAGGCAACCAATCAACGTTTCTCTCATTGTTTCTCCCCGTCCCTTCAACTCTTTCTAAAAATCACTGGAAAATATCCTCAATAAATAAATAAATAAATAATAAAAGAACTCATTAGGAAGCTCAGAGGGCCAGGTTCAGAAGGGCAGCTGAAATCAGAAGGAGCTCCGCACGCTTTAGAGCACACTGTCCACAACTGTCTTTCAGGACAAAGTCTCACACTAAGAAATTTGTAGAAATCAAAATCCAAACTGAGCACCACAGACCATCAAGAAAAGAGAAGAGAAGAAAAGGAAAACAAGGTCCCGATAAAAGCACTGGAGGGAGCAGAACCAGATTCCATTCAATCAGCTGCCATTTTTCAGCACTTCACAAACACAAAACAAGAGGGAGCTCTAGAGCCATGACTTTGGAAAAACTTTCCTGAAAACTAATTTCATGTAAAAACAAACAAAAAAATAGCATGCCCACACCATACAAAAATTACTATACAAAAAAGGGCAGAATCACATCCCTACAGACAACGAGAGCACACAAGAAGACACGTCCACAAAACAGATGAAAATGATAACCTATTATTTCTTAACAAGGTAGAGAAAGGCATTAATAACGAAAGTAAAAAAAACAACATTTAATACAATTAGGAAAATAAATAAATAAGTAATAATTTTAAAAATAATTTGCTAAACAAAAAGTTGGAGAAAAATTAAAAATATTTTTTTTTAAATCAAGGAAATGAAAGGGATAAAAAGGATTTGAGGAAAAGGACAATTATAGAAGACAAACCAAGAAAATCCACTATGCACATAACAAAAGCAAAGCAACAAAATACATACTAAACACCAATTCAAGAAAATATAGCTAAAATAGCGCTGGCCAGTATCACTCAGAGATTAGAGCATCAGCCCTTGCACTGAAGGGTCATGGATTCGATTCCTGGTCAAGGGCAAGTACCTGGGTTCAGGTTTGATCCCTGTTTCAGCCGGGGCTTGTGCAGGAAGTAACCAATCCTGTGGGTTGTGGGCTCGATCCCCAGCAGGGGGCATGCAGGAGGCAGCTGATCGATGTGGATGAATTGATGTTTCTCTCTCCCTCTCCCACCCTCTCTCTCTAAAAATCAATAAAAACAGCCCTACCCAGTTTGGCTCGGTGGATAGAGCATCGGCCTGCAGACTGAGGGGTCCTAGGTTCGATTCCGGTCAAGGGCACATACCCGAGTTGCGACTCGATCCCCAGTGGGGGGGCCTGCAGGTGGCAGCCAATTAATGATGCTCTCTCATCGTTGACGTTTCTATCTCTTTCTCCCTCTTCCTTCCTCTCTTAAATCAATAAAAATATATTTTAAATAAATAAATAAAAATCAATAAAAACATATTTTTTTTAAAAGAAGTTAATAGTGAAGAGGGTGGCTGACTGGTAAATCTGTTTATACTTGTGTGGTGGTTATAAAGGTGTTCATCTTAAAGTCATGTGTGAGTTATACATCATTTGTTCTATGCCATCTATATATGTTATACTTTACAAAAATGGTTAAAGTTTGTTTCTAAGTTTAGATTTCTTTCTCCCTTTCTTTTTGTGGTATGACATTCTTAAAATAAAATTTCCTTTACCTCTGATTAGAAGACAATATGCAAGTAACTATATAACATTATTCTTTTCTTATCGAATTCATATGAAATGTCACTGGACTCCATTAAGAATCCCTATGAAAACCTTACTTAATACTAATTGACCTCAAGAGGGAGGTTTGAGGTAGCAAATTAAATGTCTCTAGAAGTTAGTGAGATCTGACTCTGGTGAATGTCAGTCCACCTCTAAGAACACCATGGAACAGACAGGTAACAGCAGATGCCAGGCGACCTAACGGAAACCAAGACCTGGTGCTGGTCACTCAGAAGCAGACCATCCACTAGACCCACCAGAGCCTGACCCAGGCTCAGTACACAGGGGTCACATTAGCTGATGCTCCAGTGACCCTGGGCTCCACCTTTGACAACTAATCATTCTTTGCTCACATTCTCACATGCACCCAATAAATCCAACATTTTCCCTCTGGCTTTCTGTTGGAATTCTTCTGTTTCTCACTTATTTGCAAGCAGCAGTGAGGAATGGTGGGTAAGAAACGTTGGCCTGACTGAAATGAGTTCAGGCACAATCAATGTGCTATCTATAACCATTATTTCTGCTCAGCTTAATTCACACAGGGTCTGAAAAGCCACATAAAAAGTCATGTGGCCCAGCTGGTGTGGCTCACTGGTTAAGTGTCAACCTATGAACCAGGAGGCTACTGTTCGATTCCAGGTTGCAGGCTCGATCCCCAGTAGGGGGGCGTACAAGAGACAGTCAATCAATGATTCTCTCTCATCATTGATGTTTCTATCTCTCTCCCTCTCCCTTCCTCTCTGAAATCTATCTATCGATCTATGTATATATAAAAGTCATCTGCCTGAAAAATAAGTCTCACTGGCTCATAAAAAAGGGAGCCCTCTACATTCAAGACATTTTCAAGCTTACAGCCTATTTTTTACTAAAACACATTAATTTTCAAAAAACTCCATTCTATATATTACATGTATTTCAGGAAATTTTTCCTGGGAAATGACAGCACGTACAGAGTCAGGAGGTACTCACTCATGTTCAAGGCAGCCATTCCTCCTTGTGGGGCCGCCGGGTAGACACTCGGAGCGTTTGTGGTCATAAAATCTGCAATCTGCTGTAATGCCAGCAGGCCGGTGGGGTTTTTCCCCTTCTTAAACTGTTCCTGTATCATTGATTCCAACTCTTCACAGAAAGCCTAGGAAACGGTAAATTCCAACAGTGAGACACCGTTTCCTTTGTGTTTCTGGAGAAGGCAAGGGTAACTTTCACGCAGACTGAGTTGCTGTTTGTTTTCATCCAGTCCTAGGAAGGTGGGTGGACACTCTCATATATAACTACTTGAAGCACAAATTGGTACATTCTTTCTGGAAGGAATTTAACAATATAAAAGCTTAAACATTTGAGCAGGCATCCTATTCCCAGGAATCCTTTCTAAGGAAATACCTAGGGATGTGCTCAAGATTTATCTGTAAGGATGTTCGCCGCAGCAGTACCGACAGAAGGCAAAACAGGTGTGTCCACAGGTGAAAGTGCAGAAGACTAATGAGATACACGGACCCACCTGACCAGCAGCCGCCAACCTTTCGGACCTCACGGACCACAGTTGGCAACCGCTGCACCTGACAATGGAATGCTATGCACTTTCAACATGAAAGACCAAGTAAATGGCATAAATGTACTCTTGACATATGTTTGAGTTAAAAGGTTATAAAGCAACACAACCAGTTCGTTTAAGAGCGGATGCATATGGAAACGTAGAAGGACTAAAAGTAATACATCAAAATGCTCACTGTAATTCTGTGACAGAATCACTAGTAATTTTCATGTTCTACTTTACGCTTCTCAGTATTTTCTTCATAATACAGTTTTTAAATTACTTTAAAGTTAAAAAAGAAATCCTAAAATATTCATCCTTTATAAAATAATCCTAAATTAGGCAAAAAGGTTAATAAGTTGGGTTGATAGAAATTTTAACATGAAGTCACTACTGAAATACACATAATTTATAATTTCCCCAAAAATTATTAAAATGATTTTCACATATCCTATAAAGAAATAAATACTGTCAAATAATTATAAATAATATTTAATGTGAAAGTGAGAGTTCACTGATTATCCAGACCCGAGTATAAGCACTCCGAGGGCTGCTGTACGGCTGGTTCTATGTTAACCTTACTTCTAGTCTCTCACTGCTTGAGCTGAAAAGATAGGTTGCGAAGGGACAGAATAAGTACACCTGTCACTTGAGGGAAGCAAACAAAAGCAAATGCAGTGGCGTTAATTCAATGGCATAAAAGAATGCCAAGAGCCAGGAGCCCCTGCCTACCACACCATGCTACCTAATGCCATCCATCATACTCTGCGGTAGTCGAGGGGGGAGGGAAAAGCTGGCAGGGCCTTGGACTGCAAGGAAAAATATATCACCGACACATGGTTCTGGGGCCACCTTTGATGGCAATGCAAACTTCAGGGATACATAAAGACATGCACAGCTGTAGGTAAAGAGAGACACAGATGCCTTACTAAACCTCACCGAGTGTGCTGGGCACAGGGCATGCAAAAGCTGAGTTCAACAGCTCCCTGCTCTCATGGGCCCTCAATCTGAAAAACCAATCTATGTCCATGGTTTTCAAATCCACATACAGCTCTAAAGGAAGCTCAATTCAACATACACTACAACATGTGCTACACACACTACACTCTGCACTAGTCCTCTCTCTGCTCCAGGATCCCATGCTGCACTTAGACGGGACTATAAGGGGACTTGGCTGTCCGCACAGTGCCTGGCATACGAGGTGCTGGAAGTTTACTTTCTCCACTCTATCCCTAGTGATTTGTTGCTTTTATGTAGGAAAACTGTTCAAGCAAAAGTCTAGATGTTAAACTGATTCTTTTTTTCTTCTCATATCTTCCTCTTATTTATCCCACATTCAAAATAAGACTCAGATGAGCCTACCCTCTCCACCTCTACAGCAGCGCCCTGACCCAAGCCACCGTCACCTCTTGCCTGGAAGACGGCTTTCTCCCTTGCCCCACAGGATGCTCCCTTCTCTACCCCGAAAGCAGACTGAGTTCTGTAGAAACTGAATTGCGTCTTTCCTGTCTGCAGCCCTCCAGTAACGGCTGTGCTCTGAGTGCAAAACGAACCCCTGACCTGAGCTTCCCCAGCCTTCCAGGACCTGCTCCCTCCTCCCTGTCCTTCCTAAGCTTACACACACTGGAGCCACCAAGCTCGCCCAGGTGCTGGGAGTGCACGTTTGCCCCTCCCTCAACCTGGAATGGTCCTCCCCATGCCCCCGCACAGCAGCCAGCTCCTTCCCCTCTCCGAGTTAGATTCACCTTCCTCCCTCAGACAGGCTTGAAGAGGAAGAGGAAGGAAAAAGATAAAAAGTATGAACAATAAAATGGCAATAAATAAATATCTGTCAACAACTGAACCTAAATATCAAAATAAATGAACAAGGAATCCAATGAACAAAATAAACTGAATAAAATAGAACCAGCCAGAGGCCTAGCAACATGGAACAGACTGACGAATCTCAGAGGGAAGCGGGGAGGGGACGAGGAGGGATTACATGCATTACCTACAGACACAGACAATAGGGTGGTAAAGGCCTGGGGCAGGACGGAACCAGGTGGAGGGGGATCATGGGGAGGGTGGGTAAAAGGGGGGACATCTGTAATACTCTCAACAATAAAGATTTTAAAAAAAGAAAAAAAAGGCCTGTCCTAACCAAGTCATACACAACCTAGTCATCCAACTGTTCTGTTGGTTCCTTACTGCATATCTTCAACTAGAATGCAAAGTTTGAGACTTCATCCAGGTGCTTACACAGGTGTTACATATATGTCAAAACTCATCAAGCCGGACTTAAGACCTGTGTACTTTACATTACACCTCAGTCATATGTGAATAACAACCACCAAACAAATAAATCAAGTTAGAGGCCAATTCCTTGAACAGCACATGAGATAATAAACATGAATAAAACAGTCAGTGACTATCTGCCAATGGCATCCCACAACATGAAGATAGTAAAGTAAGAACAGATGAGCAGAAGGCGGTCCACAGGGCAGCAGCGTCCCCATGAAGGAAGATAAAGACAGCTCCTCTACCTAGAGATGCAAACAGAAGACACTTTGTTGGGGTGACTGTCGTTCAAAAGCTGATCAATCAGTAAATCAGGCACTGCCGAGGCCTACCATGGGCCCGGCCCCCAGCTAGGTATTGTGGAGGAAACAGTCCTTTTTAAAAGATGCCATAAATAAAGACTGAGAAGCAGTGAGAGTAAAAAGGAGAAATCAACACCTGCTACCCTTTATGACCCTGAAGATTTTCCCCTGTTGTCTGATAACTTAAACTAAACGGAGTTCTCTCAGCAGCAATACAATATGGAGGCGCTGATTGCCTGTGTTAAGACAACCTGACTATGACACACACAACAGCGCGCCAGAGGGCAGCACTGGAGAAGGAAGAAGATACTTGGAGAAGCAGCTGCTCTTACAGGACTCTGCAGAATCATGGACACTCTCTTCTTCTGCTCCATCATGTTGAAGTCCTGGCGAAGGTCAGGTGCCATGTTCCTCTCTCGCAGGTATTCTGGATTATTCTCATCCACCCTGTCGAAGTACCTCTCTTTGTGAGGGGCTGTGGTCGGGGGTGGTGAGGTCACCACTGCAGCTTGAGTATCACCATTCATTGCACAATCTTTCTAGGTTCCTACAGAATAAAAATGAAAGAAAGTATTGTTTCTGAATCAATGTGCAACAGCATTTCACAATGAGCACGCCAGCCTGATAAATACATCTGCAGCGTGAGGACCTCTGACTGCCTGGCCATCGGAGCCATGACGTGGGAGGCTTCTTTGTGGCCCTGGCTGAGCAGCCATCTCCACCCTTGCACCAGCCAATGGCATTTCTTGTCCTTGCCATTGTTCTTCAGCAGACAACAGAACAATCTAACAAAGCTACTATGTCTTCTCACAACCTGAAGGACCAGATAGCAAAAATTTGATAAGACAGTTTAAAGTCAGGACATTATCCCACAACTTCATTTCTGGAGAAATTTGATTTATGTTATTTTTCTAAAAAAGTTTCAGTAGTGATTTTTCGAAAGATTCCCTAAATAGATCAATAAGGGAGAAGGCTGCTCACACATCTATGCACACAAATAAGAAATGACCCTCTTCAGCATCACCTTTTTGGTTCAATAGCAGGTACCGAAAATGTCAACATGACCTACTTTGTGAATAAAACCTAAAAAATGCCCCAAAGGCACAAATTTAAGTCTGCTAATATGTGCCCAGCACCAAGAAGGTACTTACTTTACATTCTTTTTAACCCCAATCTTTTATTTGCAACTAGAGGCCCAGTGCATGAAATTCATGCACGGGTAGGGTCCCTAGCAGCTGCCAGCTGTCCGCCGGGGCCTCCCTTCCCCAGCTGCTGGCTGGGGCCTTCCTTCATTCTGCGCCGCCCCCTGGTGGTCAGCACCCATCATAGTGAGCAATCGAACTCCCGATGGGTTGAACTCCTGAGGGGACACTTTGCATATTAGGCTTTTATATATAGATAATGTTCAAAGATACTAAATTATGTTCATCTTTAACTACTAAATCTCTAAACCAAGCATGTCAAACTAAAAGGTTAACAAGGGCCACATAAACAAGGTTTAAGTTTATGTGGGCCGCAAAAACACAAAAGCTTCAATTTTCATAGAAACATATGTTTATTTTGATAGAGACATGCTGAATTCAAAGGGCTGAAATAAATGAGTCATCGTTAACATAAGATAATAGAACAATTTAATATTAATATTTTTCTTGAATATTAATTTACCAGACACTGAATAACTGCACAAATTAACAAGCGTAACACAAATAAAGAAAAAAAAATACTTTGTGGTACCAACAGCCAAAGAATCAATTTAAGAAAACTTTTTTTTTTTAAGAAAAAAATCAATTTGGACATTGCCCTTCTAAACCTAAAGATATGATAGAAATAACAGCAAGCTTAACGTAGCAGTATTTCAAGGACTGAAAGACAAAGCATGAAAATAACAGGGGACTAAAAGTCAACACAAAATAAAAGAACCGATGACCTAAAATGTAGTCTTTAAAAGTACTGTTCTCTAAATGCTTCCTTTAAAATTTTACTGTTGCCCTGACCAGTTTGGCTCAGTGGATAGAGCGTCGGCCTGCGGACTGAAGGGTCCCAGGTTCGATTCCAGTCAAGGGCATGTACCTTGGTTGCGGGCACATCCCCAGTGGGAGGTGTGCAGGAGGCAGCTGATCGATGTTTCTCTCTCATCGATGTTTCTAACTCTATCCCTTTCCCTTCCTCTCTGTAAAAAAAGATCAATAAAATAAATATTTAAAAAATAATAATAGCCGAAACCGGTTTGGCTCAGTGGATAAAGAGTCGGCCTGCTGACTGAAGGGTCCCGGGTTCGATTCCGGTCAAGGGCATGTACCTGGGTTGTGGGCACATCCCCAGTAGGAGATGTGCAGGAGGCAGCTGATCGATGTTTCTAACTCTCTATCCCTCTCCCTTCCTCTCTGTAAAAAATCAATAAAATATATTTAAAAAATAATAATAATAATAATAATAATAATAAAATGTTACTGTTTACTTTAACCTAGTTTGCTCTAAAAGAACAACCCAAGAACAAAACAACAATGGTTGTCTGACATTTCTCTAGAGGTAAGTAAAGCTGAACATTCTGAGCCAATGATAAAATGTTCTATTTCAGTTTTGTTTTTTTAAAGACAAAAGGATATACAGTATATTAACTTCTCTATTACTAAATGAGTCCTGCACACCGCCCACTGGGGACTGAGCTTTCGAAACCCAGGCATTGCTGTGACCAGGACATTTTAAGACATTTCATCAGTAAATAGGAACACGGAAACACTTAAGAAGCAACCAGAGCTGGTTCCTGGTTCCCAGAGCTGACTGGAAGAAAAGAAACTTTGTAAAACCAACATGCTAAAGATAAGGCAGAGACTGCTCCGTTTTTATTACAAATTGCTGTGTGAATGGGATAAGATAGACTGCAAACCAGATATACATGTATTTCATTCCTTTAATAAGGAAGTCTATAAACTTAAAATACACATATTCTGAGCCCAATAATTAAAAATAAACATTCCCTGGCCAGGTGGCTCGGTTGATTGGAGCATCTTCCTGTACACCAAAAGGTTTTGGGTTTGATTCCCAGTCAGAGCACATACCCAGGTTGCAGGTTCCATCCCCGGTCGGGAGGCAACTGATCAATGTTTCTCTTTCGCTCTCTTTCTCCTTCTCCCTCTCCCTCTCTCTCTTAAATCAATTTTTTTTAATTTAAAAAAAAAATCCTCGGGCCCTAGCTGGTTTGGCTCAATGGATAGAGCGTCAGCCTGTGGACTGACAGGTCCCGGGTTTGATTCCAGTCAAGGGCACATGCCCTGTTTGCAGACTCGATCCCCAGGAGGAAGCGTGCAGGAGGCAGCCAATCAATTATTCTCTCTCATCATTGATGTTCCTATCTCTTCTTCTCCCTTCCTCTCTGAAATCAATAAAAATATATATATATTTTTAAATCCTCAGGTGAGGATTTTAAAAAAGAGGTTATCTCTGATAATCTCCTTTAGAAAAATAAATGAATAAATAAGTAAACAAAGAATTCCAGTTTTAAAGTACAAAGTATAGTACTTGGTTTTCTGTCAGTTATGGCTTCAGGTTTCACTAATTTAAAGAGTGTGTTAAGACAGCAAATTTTTCCTAGGAAGAACTCTACAAAAAATTATTACTTAATCCAATATTTTTTTATGGAAAAATACAGATTAAAAAAAAATTCTCTAAATATGGGGCCAGGTGGGTACTTGAAATATGGGGGGACTTACTCTGTATAGTACATGATTGTCTAACCACTGTGTTGTACACCTCAAGCTAATACAGAATAATTGCAAACTGTAACTAAAAAAAAAGAAAGAAACCAGATTCAGGCTTTCAAAATAGGGTGAGGCAAAAGTAGGCTTACAGTTGTTTGTATGGAAAATAATACAATTAATAAATATTAAAACAAAAATAAACTCTGTTTTGAGTAATCACAACTCTAAACCTACATTTTCCCCACCCTGTATTTTCCCCACTTTGGGGTTATTTTAATATCTGAGTAGGTTTATTTTTTATCTGAAAAAACAATGGATTCCATATCTGGCTTAGGAACACTCTAATTAATAAATCTCAAAGAGCAACAGTTTTACTTTGTGCCATGCCAAATAACAAGATGAAATCCATCTGGAAATAAATGTTAAAAGTAGCTTTTTGTTTTGTTAAGAAAAAAAAGAATTCTGGAAACTTAATTTTTAAAATAGAAACAATCAATGTTTAATACACATATGACTTAACATAAATATTAAAATCTCAATACCATATATAAAACTAAAGATTCTTCATTACAATACATATGAGATTATATAACATGTTTAAGTGAAAAGTATAAGATTCCCTATTCTGTAATCTTATCGACATTATAATTATCACACAGACAAGATTATATCATGGAAAGTAAGCTGTATTAAAGTTAAATAAATTGACTCAAGAAGCATATAAATTGCTATGATTTTACCTGTGTAAAATTTTAAGATGTCACAAATCTTAACGTGTTGATACCTAAATCAATGAAATCTCTGGGAAGAACACTTTCAGACATACACACCCAACATAACCCAAAAGTCTGGGTGAACCACGTCAACCAAGCCTGGCCTGCACATGTAACGCCTCACGTTCAGCCACCTGTCTTGTCCTGCCCACACCATTCTGACTAGCTACTTACCACCCACCTCCTGGAGGCGCAACAGCCTCCGCACCAGTTTCTCTGCCTCTAGTCTCCTGACAACCCCCACACCAATCCACTCTCCACAGCTAGCCAGAGGGAGGTTCAAAATCATGTCATTCACTCCCTGCTTAACCTGATAGCTAATTAAAGGACTTCAGCTGGATCGTGATTCAAACAAACTGTAAAATGAAAGGTAAAGAATGACATTTGGGCTCTGGACAGTATGTCTCCGTTGGTTGGAGCGGTGTACCAAACTGAGGATATACTAACAAATATACCAAAGACTCTTGGGGCCACAACAGAAATCGACACACCAGCAGGGAGAACACATCCAGCGGTGGGGGCAGAAAGAGCAGACAGAGGGTGTTAAGGGCTGAATTGTGTCTCCAAAAGTTGATGCTGAAGCTCGAACCCCCAGTACCTCAGAATGTCACCTTATCTGGAAATAGAGTCTTTGCCGATGGATTAGTTGAGATGAGGCGTGCTGCACGGGATATTAGGACACAGATACAAATACAGGGAGAAGGCCACGTGAAGATCAGCGGAGGTGATGCTCCGCAAGCCAAAGAACCCAAAGATGCCAGCAAATCAGCAGCAGCTGGGGCAAGCCCTGGACCAGACTAGACCCGTGGTCGGCAAAACTGCGGCTCGCGAGCCACATGCGGCTCTTTGGCCCCTTGAGTGCAGCTCTTCCTAAGCCTTAGGAGTACCCTAATTAATAACAATGTACCTACCTATATAGGTTAAGTTTAAAAAATGTGGCTCTCAAAAGAAATTTCAATGGTTGTACTGTTGATATTTGGCTCTGTTGACTAATGAGTTTGCCGACCACTGGACTAGACTCTCCCTTAGCCTCAGAAGGAACCAACCTGGACACCTTGATCTTGACTCTGGGCTCC